TTGACTAATCTATTTGAAAAGAAGAAATTATATAAAGAGACTCATAACTTTTTGTTCGAGATTAAGATTTTAGCTTTGCATTATCGAATTTTTTTTTTTGTTTTTCATTTGTTCCATTCCATGCACGAGATGCCAGTGTGTTGATTGATTCGTTATCTAAACAAAACTCTTTTGTGATTTGTGATGGTTTCTACGTAAATATTAATAAAACTCATGTATTTACATTTTGCGTGGGCTAATGGGCTCTTGAAAAACTAATGGGCTTAATGGGCCACAGAATATGAATTCGTCACGAGCCCCAGAGAACAACACGTGACGTCAAAAACATCATCGGATTAGAAGAACAGATTCATTCCAAGGACAAAACTCAAATCTGGACAGTCTATGGCCACCGATCTCTTTCCGGTCATAACTTCACCACTTCTCAGTCGCTTGTTCCGTTTTCGTGTCGGATCGGAGATACTATTTGTCTTTCCTCGATTCAGGTGAGTTTTGATAATCTTGTGCTTCTTCCGTTAAATCTTAGCTAATTCTGATTTTACTTCGGGTTTCGATGATAAGTTCATATTTAGAAATCGATTTCACATGTTTGATTTTGTGAACTAATTCATGTTAGTGAGTTAAAGAGAATGATAAATTCATCAGCTCAGAAGTTTATTCATGCTTAGTTGATGTAATTGTTTACGGTTTTTATATGTGTTTGTGAATATTGCAGTAATTTTGTCTTTGGTGAAGTAGGTTGCTTTGAAGCTATGGGAGATGTCGTTGATTTGAGTGGAGATGGTGGTGTCTTGAAACAGATTGTAAGGAGAGCCAAACCTGATGCTATTTCACCTTCTGATGATCTTCCTGTTGTCGACGGTATGTTGAAATCGAGCTTTTACGTGTTCGTTTGTTTAGCTTTTGATACTGATGAAATGAGATGGCCAAAAATATGAACTTTTCCAATGATTCTTTCGTGCCGATTATATATGTTGATGAAGGACCATAGCCTCTTTATTCGATTATCGTAGTTCACTATGAGGGTATATTGGCTGAAGACGGAAAGGTCTTTGACACTACACGGGAAGACAATCTGGTTTTCTCATTTGAGTTAGGATCAGGCAGTGTTATCCGTTCGTGGGACATTGCACTTAAAACCATGAAGGTTCCTATCATTTTCACTCTTTCTTTTCCATTCTTTCAATCCGAACTCTTCAGTGTTATATATTGACAACAACTGATTGGCCTATCTATTTTTCAGGTTGGAGAAGTTGCAAAAATCACATGTAAGCCAGAATATGCTTACGGAAGAGCAGGATCTCCTCCCGACATCCCGGCTGAGTATGTTATGTTCCACACTTCTTACCTTTCGTTCAACGATGTAGATTTCTGTTTTGGTTCTTGACGTGTTTGGGAATACAGTGCAACTTTGATTTTCGAAGTGGAGTTGGTTGCTTGTAGACCGAGGAAAGGTGCTAGTGTTGGAAGTGTTTCCGAGGAGAGAGCCAGGCTAGAGTAAGTATTATAATACTATTTGGTCCTATCTTTTGTACTTCTCCATAGACATGTATAAAAACCATTCTTACGGTTGGTTGTGGCTATAATCGCAGGGATTTGAAGAAGCAGAGAGAGATCGCCGCAGCTGCTAAAGAGGGTGATAAGAAAAAGAGAGAAGAAGCAAAAGCAGCTGCAGCTGCTAGGATTCAAGCTAAGCTAGACGCTAAGAAAGGAAAAGGCAAAGGCAAATCTAAATAAGTCAGAAAGCAAGAGAGACCAAAATGTAACTCTTAGATACCATTTCATGATTTTTGCTTGAATCTAATCATAAACTGTTAAATGACACTCATCATCAATTATCATAATGACCATCACATGACTTGTTTTGGGTCTAAATCTTTTTGCTGATTTTGATACTCACACATTTAATAACATAACAAGCGTCCAAAACCAAACTTTTAAACCATGTCGGAAGCATCATCATCATCATTGTCGATCCCGCCTTGCTCTTGCCATCCCGAATGAGCTCTGAATTTACAGACGGGACATGTTCCTTGCTGTCTAAGCCATGGATCGATACAGCCTGCATGAAACTGACCAAAGAGACATCTACATGAGTGAGTCCGTGAGACAATAAAATGCATTAGAGGAATTTGGTTTTAGATAAAGAGTAAACATGGAAACCTGATGCAAGCAGGGTAAGGTGCGAACAATTTCCCCTACATTAACTTGTTCTAAGCAAACACTACAAGTGAGCTCGTCTTCTGTTCCTTTTTCATTTCCACTGACAGAATCTTGCATCTTCTGCTTTGAACAAGAGGAAAACACCATATGAAAATTTGAGATTTTGTCAGCCACTTAGCAAGACATTTTTATTGAGTATTACTCTAATGTGATTTTTGTATGTCTGTTATTTCTTCGGGAAAAATGAGAATATGTAAATACCTCAGCCGAGGATGAGGTCGATGCCTGCTTTGACAAAGAGCAACCACTGTCGACAAAACGAACACAAGTAAAAAAAAAAAGAGCCTTGACTGAGATTTTCCAAAAAAAAACAAACTAAATTTTCCATATAAGAGCTCGATTGTAGAACTCAGGCTTAACGATTAATCAAGAAGTGATGGAGCAAATGTGACCCATGATCAAAGATACTGAAAGAGTAAATAGGCTAGTAATATTCAATACCCTGCATGTTCATTCACCCTATGTAGTAGAAAAAACTGTAAAACCTAAGAAGAAAAATCCCACAAACTAATCAGTTTCTAAGCTATTGAGTAGTAACCCTTACCACGTTTCTTTCCTATGTTAAGGAAGTGAAGTCTACAAGAGTTTCTATGACACAGCATCCAAACTTACTGTTAATTATTTCTCTAAATTCCCATTTTCAAAAACAATGTTCAAAGAGAAAAAAGGTACAAGATTAACTTACTTTTCAGGATCAAACACCTTGTACTTGTGTACTGGAAGTGCATTTATCTCTTCCTCGCTCATAGAAGTTGTGGAAACATTATCAGAATCAAGTGCCCTTAGAGTTTCATAATCTGCAGAAAACCAACATTTATCTCAAGACTTCACTAATGCAAGCAGACTAATAAACTGGAACAAGAAACGAAAAAAGGATGATGGCATTATCCAATCCCAATTTTTTAAAGGAAATAGAATTTTGAACAGTAGCTGACCTAAGTCATCAAACTCCCGATCAAGAAGAGCCAGTTGGAGCCTAAGTCCTTGAAGACGCCCTCTCGTTGCAAGAGCAATGGAAGGAGGCACATGCAACCGGAGCTCAGTGTGGCTGAATAGGCCACTAGCTGCTGCAGCATGAGCCTGAGCCTGAGCTTGTAGTTGTTGGCAAGTCGCATACATCCTAAGTGTCGTTGCCATCAAAAACACCCCAAGCACAAGCCACAGCTACAAATTTATGGAACATCAAACTCATACCCTAAACATGACTAACCTAAAAGAAAAAAAAACGGCTTCTCATGTTATATGACATACCAGGAAGTTAGGAGGCATCTGATGCGAATTGAGAATCATAAACAACAAAAGAACTGCAATGCACACACCAAACAATTAATGCATCAGAACTGCAGGAAGAAATGGTTTCAGAAAGAAGCAGAAGGGGAAGCTAAATTACCTGTAACCAGAAAAGCGAGGGAATTTGAATTAACTGGTCGACCTCCATGAACACGCTGCAGTGTTTGGCAATACCAAAAGACATTTTCCATAAGTAAATTTCTAACAATGCAATGTTTTATGTTTCCTGCATTTTGAGAATGTTTCAAGAGGAAGCATATAATACCATAGTTCGTCTCTCGGGTATAAACCCCGAGAAACCGCTTTCTAAATCTCCTCTACTTCCCCGGAAAACGAAACTCATCTTTTCCCAAATGCACAAGACAAGAGCCTGCACAAGATTTTCTCCAACAATTCTTACATTGACCATGCATGCCATACAAATTCAGACATCAAGGTTACTAATATTATCAATGAATCTATTAGTTTCCATCAAATCAAACTCAAAAACCCTAACTAAAATGCCAACTCGAGAAACCAACAAAGAAGAGGCATTAACCCTTTGATGATCACGAATCTTCGACAAAATCCAAAATTTTGAAATTGGGTCAAACGAGAGGGTTCTTAAATCAAAATAATCGCCGGAAATTGAACGAAATGAAAAAGATCGGAGGAGAGATTTCACCTGGAGGTGGAGAAACTACGGAACAGAGTCGGATTTTACTTTGGAAACGAAAGGTTACATCGGCGGGGAGTCGACGGCGTAACGGAATCGCCGTCGGAACGAGTCGACTCGGACCGAGTTATCGCTCGATCTTTTTTTCCGCGGAAAGCCAAACGCTTTCCTTGGGAGATTTTTTTGTCCCGACCTGTGTTTATTTTTTTTGGTCCTGTTCCATCCCAAATTTTCTATATATTAATCAAGGATTTTCGACCTGAGTGAAAATCTATGTGTCACTCAATGAGGATTTTAAAAAACATGTT